ACAATTTGAGCACTTTGTAAAGTTGTATTTGTTTCATATTTGTCACTCCCTCAAGGTTTTGACATACATTTTTATGTCTATTTTATACTTGAATCTATAAACAATGAAAATATTAGATGTTTGACAAGCAACATGCTTATCTGAAAAGAAATATATAATAGAGCTGGAATTATAAATCATATTATTTCACCAGTTGACAGAAAATTTATATTTTGATCGATATGTCATTTGAGGTCCTTTTTTAAACAGAAGTGTCAAAATTTCATTGGTTCTAACTGATGTCAAATGTGAGGACTTTCTGGTTTTCCATGTCCTCTATAACAGAATTAAAATTAAAAATTAAAATGTATGTATTACATTTCAGAATTATATATTATGATGATGTTTCTAGTCTGCACTTGTTCATAAAGTTAATATTTACTGTTAGTCTTTTGCTAATATAGCAGAGTTTCCTACTATCTCTTAGGTAATATTACATAATGTAGGTAATACTCCCTACAGTGTGGACTTCAGAGACTCTGATGCAAACACATCTACCACAATGCAATAGTTGTAGTCGTTAATCCATCTCACTGTGTGAACTTTTGTACCTTATTTTTATTTCCTATCTTTATTCCATTTTTTGTAGTTCTGTACAACATACATTTTTATTCCCCTGAGGAAAATACTTTCACCACACTTTGATCTCAGTGTTTTGTTCTTTATGTGTAATTTCACCAACTTTGTCTTGTTGTGTCCCCTGTAAGGAAGTTAGTCTTGTTAAATCCGGATTAACCTAAAGGGAAGACGGCTCTATCCTGTCTCTCTCTCCCTCTCTCTCTTGTGTGTCTAAGGCAGGATGCTGGGCCGCTGCTGGGCCTGATCCCATGTCCCCGGCTTTGATGCAGAGGACTTTGAAGCCAAGTGTCAACCATCAAAGAAAACTGGGACTGGGCCGTACCCCGAGCCTCAGTCCTCGGCGGGGGGGGCAGGTGAAGTGCAAGGCGCGCCTTCTGACTTTGCTCAAGACGACTTCAGGTGCTACAGAGCTTCAGTGTGAGAGGAAAGAGATGATGCTAAGTCGGATTTCAGACCCCCGAGTGTGGGGTGATGAGTCACTTTCTGGCTCCCAGTCCTCGCAAACATCACCACACAAACACACACACACACAGACCCAGACCCAGAATCAGGTCCGCACAAATGTACCCACACCGCACTTCAGAGTATAGTAATGCAGCGCTGAAAGCATTTCCTAAAATCTGATTGGATGCAGTCACAATGGGGGTCGACACTCCAAACATTTGAGCACTGTTTCCATGGCAATAGGTTCTGACATCTCCTGTCGTGACAGGGGGTGGGTTTGGGGCGGGGGGGCTCAGCAAGATTTGAACACTGACAGTGAAAGAATGAAAGGTGATCAGAAAACCCCAAAAAACAACATGCCATATTTCACTTAAGAACGACAGTTCAGCAGTCCGACTGCGGGCAAACACCATGAACCCAAGTGACCTCGTCTGAGAGCACAGAGAGTCTTTTAACTACGCACAAAAACCACTGACATATTTTGATTTTCAATTGCGCATCCAGCCTAGAAGAATATTTCCTCTTAGATAATTGGGATACAGTGTGTTGATAATGAGGCAAATTGGTTTTTTGTGTGAAACAATTTGCATCCTCATTAGGGCAGTCATTTAGAGACAAAGGCTATTATGCTACAATATTTAGTGCAATATTTTGTAAATACATACATTTGTCATTGACCCTGAGAAATGGGATCTCAGGAATGCGCTGAGGGTGAATCCATCAAATGAAAAATGCAGTAATCAAACAATAAGTCCAAACAGACATGATTGCAATGTCTTTTTCACTGTGTCATCATCACCGTCACAGCACAACATTTGTGTTTTAGAGGCGAAAAATGTGCAAGTGTATTTGTATGCTAAATCCCTGCAGGTTCAGCTTGGTTCAGCGCAGATCCCAGCAGGGGTGCTAGACACAAGAGGGTGGGCGGGTGCCAAACCTCACTGTTGTCTTCAAATGAATACAGGAACTTTGAGTGACCTCAGACCAGCCAGTGTTAGGGCAACTGTGAATGGCTGATGGCAGCACCTAGCAACATCTCTGAAAGAACAGCAAGCAGTGTCCTTCAAACTATACTGTATGAAAATATGACTTATAAATTAAACCAGAATATCAATGCCAGCTTAGTCAGTAATGCATGAATTAGGCGATAATGTAATTCAATACTGCGGCATGATAAAACAACTGATTTGAAATAAAAGCAGACACAAGACAACACAGCTTATTTAAACAAGAAGTAATACGTCCAATCTTTCAGACAAAATGCAATAAGTCTTATTCTTATAATAGAATTATATGGTAAAAGAAATACTGACTGTTTGTGTAATGTTAAATAATTCATGGGAACAACATAAATAACATAATGGCAAATGAGATTCAATTTCTGAAAATTATCTTTAATGAAAGAATTATTGATCTGTTTTCATTTCTGTCAGACTATATGAATTTGTTTTAGTGTTTTTAAGTAAGCTTTTAAGTGAAGTAGAAATGGTGGTCTGTTACAACTGTACAGACATGTATAAATACTGGATTTACACATTGAGTTACATTAGTATAGTAGTAATTAATGTAGTAATGTGTAACTTTTTGTGCAACAAAAATGTCCCTGATTACGAGAAACCTCTGGAGATGAATCATCTGGTTTTAAAGGGGTTTGAATGTTTACCGGTTTCATCCAGCAGGTGGCAGCAGAGGATTTCATTTAGATTTGAATTTGTCAAATCCATCAGGGATCAGAAGTCATGTATTTTTAGGCTTTAGGAGATTTGGTTCTTTTTCTTCTGGTTAGCTTCCATGTTTGACTCAAAAATACTATAGATCATAAAACAATATAAACATGTTCACTTTATAATTTATATAAATGCATATTCCAAAAGTTTTAAGGACTGAAGGTGAATTAATAAACTGTCCTTTCTGTATTCTCTTCATTTTCTGTATACTCATTCCGCTACATTATTTATTAACAGTACCATGGTGTTCATATCTAAACTTAGTGCATGACTTGCATATACAATGTAAAATATGTGCACATCCGTTTTTATATTTATATGTTTACTATATGTTATATTATCTTGTTTTTTTCTGCTGTTACTTCGTGGATAAAAGGTTGGAAGGTTGGAAGGTCTGAACAAACTCTGCAAGTCACATGATCTGAACAGTTTTGTTGACTTGACCTTTTACTTTGTTTTCCAACTTTCCAAATTAAAGTTTGCTACATTTGGATTCAGTGTTAAATTCAAACAGACTAATGTGTTAGGACTTGAACTGGTTTTCAACAACAACAGACTTGACTTGCTGTTAATTGGACTTTCTCAAAAGGGACTTCTGACTTTATTTTTTATATACAGAAATATAAAGAAATAAAACACAAACATAAATGGATATTCATAACCTGTGTATGGTTTTGTCAAAGTTTACCTGAATATTTGACATTCTGCTTGAAGCCTCGCAGCGATCCACACAGGATGCACCTGCATGAAATCACTGGCAGAGCTTCGTCTATCTGCATGGCAGCTTGTGTGGAGTGTTGGTTGGTTACCAGCAGCAGCTTCAAAGGTGGAGAGAGAGAACACCAAGACATCGTCATTCATTCACTACTCAGGCTTTTTCACAGAGTCTAATGTAAGTGCCAAATGATCTCTTTCTCTATACCACCTCTTTCCTCTCCCCTGATGTAGAAACTGACGTTCATGTTAACATGACAACAAAGACACGAAAAAGCTCCAGCGCATCACCTGTCCAGAAAGACGTGGTTGTATTGAAAACCCTCTAACAAGCCTATTATTCTGGGCTGGTGTTCACTCAGCTTCAATATAAGCAATGACGACTCGCAGAACAGGGTTGGTTTTTTTTAGGATGAAAATATAAAACTCACATGTTCTCTTTATTTGCTGTATATAGATAGATGTACACCACTGGAGATTTGGATAAAAGCACACACAAAAAAGCTCATGTATGTAGAATCTCAACACATGTCTGGAGATGAAAAACAAAAAACGGAGAAGATGTTGGATTACAAATAGATAAAAAACTATCCAAATTCTATACGGTTTCTAAATGTAAATAGTCACATGTGTTGAAGTCTGTGCCACATACCAACTGTCAGCAGTTGCTAATAACCTCTGCATTCTGTACATTGGGTATTTTCTACAAAATATGAAATCTACCATTTAATAATAGTTATAACATAAAATAAAAGTACATTATATGTACAATATTAGATGAAGCCATTTAGTATGAGATATATACTAAAGGACACTTCATTCTTTTTAAAGAAAAAGAAAACAAAGCTTATGTAAAATGAAGAGAGCTCCAAAGAAGCCAATATTAAAGCCATTTCAAGAAGAACAACAGTCACCAATGGGGAACTCCTGCATGACGGCCAACAGTCAGAGGATGCAGGAAACTGAAGGGATGGAATCACATTCCTTTCATCAAATTCACTGCATTACCCGGGGTTAGAAGGGGATGAGGTGTTTTCTTTTTTTGTGAAAGCCTTTGGTGAATGTTGCTCTTCAAGACAAACATGGAGAGAACCGAACAACGTTACTGCAGTATTATTTACAATTTGCACATTCAGTTGAAACACTGACAAGGAGGTTCTGCAGGCAAAGGAAGAGTAAAAACCACAAACAAAAAGAACTTGCAAGCATCCAGAAGCAGATCAAACAGATGTCCAAATAACAAGCCCTACAGGGTAGTAGCTTTTCACTGAAAGGGCGGAGGGTTACAGCCAGTGTGCAGGTCTGGGCAGAAGGGGTCAAACAATGGTACAAATCCTAACTGGAATGGGACAGTGGGGGCACAGAATGGAAAAGTCACGATGGGAGGTGATTTCCTCTCCTGTGCTCTCATCGACAGGCACCCAGGGGAGGTGACCCCCACGGGAGGTGACCCCCACACACCAAGACAGACAGCATCACGGATTTCAATTCTTTACTAGTAGTTGTTGTTTTTTTTTTTTTCAGTTGTGTTTCTTTTTTCTTTCAAGTTTTATCAGGAAGTGCTTCATCGCTGAAGTGGTTTGGGGGCGACCACTCTGTTTCTCCTCTATAGCTTAGAACTACAAAAGACTTTGTAGCTTCAACAAGGCATGCGCTGGAGTCCAAGCGGCTGGAAGTGTGACAAGTATGGACTTGAACGCATCTGTTTTTGGAAACCAATGTTACATTTTATCTTATTTTTTAAACTGACCTGGCGTTTTAGTTCATGCTACTACTCGATTCTCAGTTGAGCAAATATCCCCTTAGACTATAAAAGGCACTGTGAAAAGAAAGGCTTATGTTTGACCTCTTCAAACCAAACATACCTCATCTGTGAAGCAGTCTAATCTCGAACAAGTGTTTTATAAATAAAAGGGTCTTGCTTGAGAAGAGTAGAAAAAGATCACTATCAGCACGGTTTCTGCCCCCTGTTCGACTTCTCTCAACCCGCAGCAACATTGTGTAAATCCCAGACGAGCAACAACATCTCTCTGACCTCTCATAAGTCTCACATGAATGACAGCGACTTGTACTGAATGCTAATGACCATGTTAAACACACTCCTACAATGGCTGGATGTGAAAGGGGCAACCAAAAATAAATCCCACAATCCCCCTCTCATATAACAGGCGCAGCAAGCCGGGCTGGACTCTAAACATGTAATAACAAAACTATCTGACCATTGTTTGAGCTGCCGACACACAATGCAACCCGTGTTAACTTATTGCCTACAAATTTCTAATTAGTAAAACTAAATTAACGAGAGAAGTTGGCACCAAACTAGGCTTCTACACAGAAACAAAGATCTGTTAGGTGGAAAACCTGGAACCTGGATGACGTCTGTTAGGCCAGCACTGTTTGACCAACAGAGCTGTGTTGTAATGCTTTTCATACAGACACACTCTACTGGGAGACCGAGATGACCCTGTCCTGATTAACAGAGAGATCAATGGATCTTCACAGCGAATGGAAAATGAGCTGAGAAAAAATAGCAAGCTCCAAACAGAACGGTTATACGGATAGGAAGCGTGTCTGACTTTGAGAGGAGCTCCTAATATAATATGTAGGAAAAAATACAAACAGCTGTCTTGTTTAAATGTTATGAGAAAAAAAATAGCTAATATTAAATATATAGAAACAACGGACATTTTCTCAGCCACTCAAAATGAAACCAGAGAAGTCCTCTGTGGAGGTTACAGTTGGGGGTGGGGGGGGGGGGCTCATATTTGTACAAGCACCTGACATCTATAAAGAAGAGGCAAGAAGAGAAGACAGCTCACACACACACAGAACAGAACACCTGAGAGAAATGACCAGAAGGGGGCAGCACAGCACCCCGAAAAAACAGCAAAAGAGAAAAGCGAGGGAGGAAAAAGAGATAACGACACTACAGTATCTTGGGTGAAGTTCAGGGCACGGTGACATTTTCTGTGTCAGGAGTTGGGACTGTTCAGTTCTGTGCTGTGCTGGGCTGGACTGAGATACCAGAGATTTGTTGCTGTGCTGGCCTCTGTGGGCCTGTGGTTCCTCTGTGGATGCTGCTGGTTTACGGTGGGTCCGGGGTGGTCTCTTAGTGGCCGTCGTGCGTCGTCAGCATTTCCTCGGCTCTCCGGTGCAGCTCCAAGGCTGTGACTGTGCAGATGTCCTTGGGGAGTTCTGATTTCCTCCGCATCAGTGGGCGCTCTCTACGCTGATCTTTTTGGATCTGGACACATGGAGACAGTGAGACAGAGAGAGTTCAGTAACATTGCCAAATGTCTCACTATGGCTGTACATAAATAATTGCACGGCATGACAGGATAAGTGCCGACTCTCCCAGTTTGTCCCCTGTTCCACTTGGAAGTTGGAAGACAGCTGGGATAATACTTTGGGAATCACATGACCCGTGCCTGCTTTGAATAATGATCTTGAAAGAAGACATTATTTATGGGATAGAATGAAGGAGACAGTTTTTCTTCCTAGTGTGCAACACTACCTGAAATGGCCTCAAATGTTTTAGCTGTTAGAAAGTTTATTTAACTTTATGTCCAATTCACACTGTTACAGCTAAAAGCTTTCAAGCCTCCATTTGAGTATAAACATTTTATACCATACCAAAATATAAAGATATAAAAGGCAATAAGCAATGTTTGACTGAAGAACTCAATAAAACATCTGTAAGTGACAACTTCAGACAGAGACAAAAAATGCAAACAGGAATAAAGTGAAAGTGGACAATGGTGTTATTTGGATTAATGGCGGAGTGGTACAACATAAAGTATCTAAAGTACCTTGGGCTACATTTTGTAGAAGTTGTACATGAGCTCAAAAAGCATGGGGCAGCTCCCAGTCTTTCACTGTTTATGAAAGGCAAGCTTTACATATCCAATGAGAATAATAAAGAGAATGTATTGAAAAAAGCCAGCTGATGGGTGTTATCTAAAGCAGTAATATATAAAGATAAAAGCAGAGCTGTGTTTCTCCAAACTAACAAAATCAACCTTTCAACCAATCTATTAAATTGTAGCCTTAGTACACAAAGCAACCATATTGTACATAGTCTTTTTGCAGTGTATTTGGCTGTCAGCCACAGCGCCTGCCTCACTCAAAAACACACCAATATTCACTGCTACACTACGCTACGCACACACATATATGTATATATATATAGATATATATATACACACACTCCTGACCTGTGTGGCTTCCTCCACTACTGTTTTCTTTAGCATGTTGACATCATCTAGCAGTGGTCCATCTGTCTCCATGTCCATGGGACTGTCTGAGTCTACCGAGTCAATGTACATCAGAAACTGTACAGGAAGAAGAGAAGAGGAGGGATGGTTAAAAATAACCACTGACTGACTTTTCTGCTTTTTGCTCGTCTATTCCTGGTTTTGACTTTTAATCTTTGATCAACTTGAAGCCATTTCTAGGTTTCACATTCAGACTCATTTTGGACCTTTTCTCTAGTGCCACCATGAACATATATGGAGCGTCTACCTGCTTCAACAACTCAGCTTCTTTTCTTTTTTTTTGCTATATTTGTGCAACTGAAGCACTTGTGCCATACTGGGTGTTTATTCTAATCACAAAATTATAGTTACTGAGGCAATCGTCAGTAGCATGTCTGCAGTATTAATGTATCACTCCATTAAAATCTCTTTGCTCACCTGTGGGTTTGACTTTGCAAGATTCTCAATCTTCAGCCATGCTTCTTCTCTCTCTTTCCATTTGGCTTTCTCTCTGAGACACCAAACAAAACAGGCAAAATCATTAGAGACTGCATCAAAAGAAAATATTAACTCAAAGATACACTGACCTGTTACGTTCAACTCAGGAGTTCAGTTCACTTCTCTGGCTTATTTACCTACTTAGTCACTTTAATTCATTTTCTAATGATGTTTGTAACCGTGTAATAGGACCAAGAGAGCTGTAGCTGCACTCGAAACTGGTGTGATGTCTGGCTTGTGACTTACTTGCTTTTCTCTGCCCTGAACTGTTGGGTGCAGTCATCAAACAGTTTCTGGTTCATCTCCATAAAGAGTTTGAGAGCGTTGTAGATCAACCCGTGGATCGTCCTGCAGACAGACAAACATTACCACAGGTCAACTGATTGATGCACTTCGTAGAGGAGCACAGAGATAGACCTGAGAGAAAGCCAGTGTGGCGACTCACTTGTTCCAGTGGGTCTTGGAGTTGCGGTAGAGGGATGGGAACATGATGGGCAGGATCTTGGCGGCGTTGTCACTGATCAAACTCATGATGTACTCATTGTTCCAGTAGTACAGAGCTCGTTCTGCCACCTAACAACACATACGTTTATAACAGGGTTACATATGTAAACAGGCGACTTTTGATGGAGAAAAATAAATCACGTTATATGTGCGCTGGGATGAATGTCAGACCTGAAAGTGTGGGCTGGACACACACTTGGCCAACTGTCTGAAGAGGGGCTCCATGACTTTGACAAACTCCGAAGGCTCAATGACATCCAGGATCTCCTCCAGCTCATTGAGGAACATCACCTCTTTTGGACTGTGGGTTTTTGGCCAATACTTTAACAAAGCCATCACTGTCTGCACACAAAAGGACAACCGACGTATTGGAGAAGAAAAAGTTGAAGGAGAAGGAGAAAAACATATGGACAGCTGATCTGTCCATCCAATAAGTTGTTGAAGTACTACAGGTACTAGCATTTAAAAAAAGTTTGAAATACATATACTTAGAGAGATTAAACAAATGAATTATTAATTTATTCTGCTCTTGACTTTAAAATAATACAACCATGCAATCCTGATAACATAATAAAAGACTGTACTTATATTTTACATGAATACCTGACAAATCACATTGAGAGTAAAGATCAAAAACTAGACTCTGGCAGTGAAATCCTTGGGTTTATACACCCATAAACTAACCTTGAATAGACAGGATATTGAAGGATAATTCAATCAACAATATGAACAATATGAACAACTATACAACGTTAATAAATCATATCTTACCGGTTCTGTGAGGGTGCTATCCTTCTCTAAGAACTGTACCACACAGTAGGCCAGCTAAGGAAGACAACATAATGTTAACCCTTCTAACAGAACTGTAGTATTGTAAACACTGATGTTATCAGTTTTTTTATAGCAGAGAAATTGTATAACACAATGTTTGAGCCTGGCAAAGTGGTTACCTGTGGGTGATATACACTAAGAGACTTGACTTTGTGTAATGGCAGCAGAACTTTAAGCAGGAATATCTTGTGCTCTTCTTTCAATGGTAATGCGAATCCATTGATTATGCTGGAAAAAGAAAGACGGTCATTAGAAAAATAAGCTTGACAATATGGCTATTTAATCATTTTGCTACGGAAAACCTTTATTGGAAATTAAACAAAAGAAAAAAAAAAAACTACTCCCTGAACCATCAACATCAGAAAAGGTTTTATTGGCGCACCTCGCAAAAATATCTTACCTGCCTAATATTTCCAGTAATTCTGCTATTCCATTATGATGTTCAGTCTCATAAATGAACCTGAAAAACAGCAACATGGTTACATCATGTAATACATCACAGTGCTACATTTAAGAAAATACACTCCATCAGCCACCAACAAAATATAACGCAGAGAAGAAGTGTCACTAATGTACCTGACTCATCTACTCACTCACCTATAAAATATGTTATTAATCTGTTTCCTAATGTACGCTCGCAGGCCCAGGAACTTGCCATAGATGCGATGAAGAGTGGTCTTTAAAAAATCTCTTTCCCTGGGGTCTTCACTGTCAAACAGATCTAAGAGCTGTGCACAAAAAAGGTCACAGTGTGAGGCTCTGAGAGCAAATTCAACTGAGCACCATATAAAAGAAGATCTATCTAAAGAGAAATACATTGTGCATACAATTCCCTAAATCAAACATGTATAACCATGCACACAAACTTGTATCATTATGTGCTCACCTGCATTACAAACTTCTGGTCAATATACTTTTTGGCTATGTTTGGTTGAAAGTCAGGTGACTCTAAAAACCGTAGGAAGAACTCATAGACGAGCTGTGGAAAGCAGAGCAAAAACACTCGAAAGTAATTACTCTCATCGGTTTACAGTGAATAAACAAGAGTTGGTCTGAGTGTGTCTGTGTATTGGTGTGAATGCTGTGTACCTGTAGATGTGGCCACGCTGCCTCTAGCGTAGGCTCATCTTCCTCTGGGTCAAACTCGGCACCCGTGGGGTTGGATGATGGCGGTAACGTCCTAAACATATTCACAGAAAACTGGAGGGGGAAAAAAAAACAGAGTAACACAGGTCAGCTCAACAATCCACTGAAAATTCACCATCACTTAGACAACACAGCGGATTCACAATACCATGTTTCAACTACCAACGCAGAAATCAGATTAGATGAGTTTATTTCACAATTACATTTAATAAGGGTGAAAAAATAACTGCTTGCTTGCTATTGCCAAACCCTGGAGAGCATTAGCTGTGGTTGCTAAGTTTGTCTACTCTACCTGACACCTGACAAACGATGATTGAAAGTTTCTTGCTTCTAAAACATTTTTGACAGCTGAAATAATGAAGCTGATGAGGCCACAGTATTTAACAAGCAAACAAGGCTGTTTACAATCAATTACTTATCCCATAAACAACAAATAATCAATGGGTTCTTAGGGGAGGTGACTGGTAAGTACTATAAGGACAACAAGCCTCTTTGCAAAAGCTTTGCCATGCAAACATGAACTAAAACAGTGAGGTATGTTCGCTATTGCACTGCATAGATCACAATACAAATACATGTTAAAACAAACACTGGTATAATGTTATGTAGCCTCTGCAAACTGGTTTCTCCTCATGTTTTAGGCAAATTTAGTTAGTTAGTTTGTTTAGAGGCAAATCTATCTAATTGGCCTTCAAAATGTTAAATGAGAAAATGTTGTATCTTCTTTATAAAAAAGAATGAATGAAATTTTGTTTTGATGGTTGAATATTTTCTTGTGTGCCTGTCTGAGATAGCAGCCTGTTTCACTGACAATAATATCCCCCAAATTGGAAAGCATCCACCTTTTCTCTCTGTCCATTCTCACTTTCCAGACAGCACTCTTAGACACTCCCTCCAGAGTGCAGTCGACCAAAGGTCAAAACACACTCACTCCCCATCATGTTTATATTCTTAGCAGAAACCATTTCTTATTTCTCCCCCAGAGAATGGGACTAATGGAACAACCACTGTCGTGTCAGCCAAAGGTCTGCCAAAATATTGTTCTAAAGCTTGCACACCGAGGCATCAAACATGCCCTGTAGGAACAAGGGCTTGTGGGAGAAAATATATGTACAGCCTTAACATAAGAATACACTCTTTATGGCTACAAATGAGTTTGTCATGTCAATCTCCATACTTTGATGATGAAAGCCATCAGTGAGCTTCAAAGAGTCTTTGTCTTTAAGAGGGCAGGGGAAAGGGGCTGCAAGGAATAAGAGTATATTTTCATGCTGATTTGGCAGCTCTGTTGCATTTTCTGCAACATTGATCAAATAAAGCCACGACAAGGAGGATGGGGGTAAATTTGCACCTTGATCATCTGCAGTTTACCATGTGGCATTGAGGCAGAGCTTTGATTAACATCAAAGGCTTTTTAATTTGGCTTGGGAAAGCAAAGCTGGCACCATGAAAACATCCAGGCCACGACCTCAGAGGAACACATTTCTAATAAATATACAGTAGGAGCTCAATAACAACCACACTATCTACAGCCCAACTGAATAAACAGGTTCAGACCTGTAGACGCTATTTGGGTTTAGTGACCTCATATGGGTTAACTTTTTTGGCCATCTTTAGACAAACGCCACTAAGTGACCACTTGGGGGAAAGAAAATAAATGGCTGACCTAATGGCTAACCAATGATTATAAAGATAAATATTAAGTTAGGTTTATGCGACACAAATCCTTGGGTTCAAACTGAGGTCAGTGATGCTCATGTGAGTTTCCTATGACTCAGTGAGAAGCTAAAAAAATTACTAAATAGGCAAGTAAGTATTGCTGGCAGTAGAAAGCAAAGTAGATTCTCTCCCCATGGCGCCCACATAAAAAAAGAAAGATCTAGACTCTTAACAAATTGCAGATCCTTATACAGAGGTTAATAGAATATGAAAGCAATTCAGTTGGTTCTACTGAGTCAGAAAGCTCTTCGTGGTCACACGCATTTAGTGATATACAGCGGTGCCTTATTCACAAGAATGCCTCAAAGAGCTCAACAGACAATGAGGAATTAATATAAGTGAACTTTCTTAAACCTAAACAACCTACTGTACTGCTGCTACACTGATCTGAGCCACAAAGAGAAGAAAGACATGATTTCTTTTACGGAGCTTAATAATACAGGCTTATTATGTAAAATAGGCTCACTCTAGCTGCAGAGAAAATCACTAGCTAGGGGAAGGCCTGCAACATACGCATTGTATGGTATACAGGGACCTTTGGCCTTCCTTGGAGTTGGATAATATACAGTTCTGAAGTAACTAACTAGCTCAGTGCTCAAAATATTGGAGAATTATTATTTCTTCTGTTAACTAATGTTTGACAAAATAGCTCAAAATAAAATACTATTAATGACTTTGCTTGATGCGAATGTCAATGACTGTAGTCTGTTTAAAATACTGACCATGTGAACCACCTCTGGGTAGATTGGTTCTGTGATGACGTTCCTGTTGTGGGTGATGTACTCCACCATCTCGCTTAGGGCCGCCCGTTTCACCTCCTTCCATTTCAGATCACTCAGTGGGTCCGAAACAAAATCGAAGAGGACGCAGCACTGCCGCAACTTCTGGATGAACAGCTTCTCCTGCTCTGCAGGGGGAACATCTGCAAGACAGACATGGAAGGAAGGTTGGAATCAACAGGTCTGCCATTGTGTGTGAAGACCTTTCTTTAACATAGAACACGAACAAATTCTCTTTAAAAGAGATATCCTACATCCAAGATAGTAAGAGTGTCTGAGAAACTGTGTCTCAGTGTCAGAGCTGTCACACACTAATATCTTAATATATTCGTTTAGTTTGATAAACAGTCACTGACTGATCAACTACCACGTTTTATCCCACTATCATCACCATGGATAAAAGTGTGATACAGGAAATCAGCACAGGCATGACAGAATGGGTGACAGAGAAATGGCCAAAAAGTAGCTGGATGGTAAATAACCCATCACAGTCTTTTATAAACACTGCAAAAAGATGTTAGGGCAATGACTTGTATGTTTCAAAAGCTTTGTCTGTTGTCATGGTAATCAGTGCCAAAAGTAATTTTTTGTCTCACCCCACTCCCTCCCTCGCAGTCGATGTAAATTTGTACCAAAGCTTTAATGTTATTCCGGTTCACTACAACTGTAATTTGCTTCTGTGGAGTTCATGTGGTGACATGTGGAGACTTCATTTAAAGACTTCCTAAATCAATAATTTACCCTTTCAAAGACAGTGTCACCGCTACATCAATGATGCAGAGGCTCTAAATCTGCCTCCAGGACCACTGAGCCACACCTGTGTATGTAGAATCATTAACTTGCTATTTAAGAATCATTACACGTTTTTGTAGCTACTGCACACTTACTGTCAATGAGCCAACCACCATTCTGTGCCAGCAAGCAAGCGTTATCACCATACAACAGCTGCCTCAGACGAATCCATGATTAGCACAAATCATCCACAACAATTACCAAACAAATTAAAATTAAATTAATCAAGGAATCAAATAAACATTGTTATATATTATAATAACTATTCAATTGCTGCGGCAAAAAGAGTTTCATTAAAATATATTAAGACTTCCAGCAACTCCACAAATAAACAAAGAGTTCTCTATTTTGGAACCGTTACAAGTCTGCACCCAAAGGGCCTGAAGGGCTTACCCAACTTGTACACCAAAATGTTTCAGACACATAATGTGCTTAAGGCCATGTCATGCTTTATAAACAAGTGAAAGAAGTGAGTAAGAGTGATAAAACTACAGGTCAAATGGGAGATGCCGCTTTCAGGGCAATAACTATTTTACTTTCAAATTGACACTGAATGTCGGTAACAGCAAAAAATAACATAACAAGCTCCTTATCACTTGGTCAGATTCCTACAAACGGTACCCTGAAACCAAAAAGAAGTGCAATGGCGCTCAATTATTTTCATCCAAAATGGGGATTAGTGTCTTAAAACGAAATGTCACCTTATGAAACCTACCTATAGGCCAGAGTTAATTCATTCGTCACAGCCTGTGATTTATGAGTCAGTCTCGTCTCCCCATTAACAATCTGAATGTGTACCGCACGTCACCATGGTGACCACAGGCAGAGATAGGACTTTGGACCAGGGGGTGACCGCCGCTAATCAAAGATGCATGCAGGCTGCTTCTGCTGCTGTTGTTACACTGATGCTGATTTTCTGTGCCCATCAGCTGCGGAGCCAAGAGACGTGTCAGCCAAACCGACCCTTGTAAAAACACCAATCAGTCAACACAAAAAAGGTAGAAAGGAAGAGGCGTTGCTCTTAAGAAACCATTTTGTGTCACTGTGTTCACATAAACTAAGCAAAAAGGATTTAAACCTAGTGGCAATTTGGCTAGGTATGCAACAGGTAGAGCAGAAAACACAGCTTCATCGTGGTGCCAACAGCATGATGCTCCTACAAAACACATCCTAAAATCAAACCACAATAGCACATACGGCTAGGAGAAATTGCTCTAATAAAAAAAAGGCAGTTAAGCTTAAGTGTTATCAGCCAACCTCACACAAAGACAATCAGGTTAACTATATCACAAACAGTCCCAACATGTGTATGTATGGCAGATTAAGATAGCTGTGAGCTTGTGAATGCCATGAGTCAAATTACTTATTATGAAGAACATTTGGCAGTTTATGCTTATTAAAAGAGGAAGCACAATTATACAGGTTATATAGGTTAATATCAAGATTCCAGAGAAGTGGTGTGTTTAGGTAATTTAGCAAACACCAACAACCCAGCAATAATAATAATAATAAAAACTCCATACCAATTCTATGAATCTACAAAGCACTGTATAGGCACTATCTCATAACAGATAAATAATTGACATACAAAAATCTCTATATAAAATCTAAAATGGCCTTAGTCTTGCTGACATCTTTTCAAGTAACATTTTGTGTCCATCATTTGTTTAACCTCCATTTTATTAACACATAAAGCTGCCTTTTAAAGTCATTGTTCCAGCCATTATGTCCACTAGTAGATATATTCCAAAACTTGAAAGTGGCATGTACACTTATCTGTGATCGAAATTGTGATCTGTACTTATTCATTTGCAGTATTTTCTCCGAAGCCCTCTTTTTGTCCCTACGGCGTGGGGGAACTGGTACAAACATCAGAGTGGATATCAGTCGAAACTGGTGAAACAAGTCGATTCTAAGAAATTCCGCACTGTATGTTGTGCACACTCCCACAGAGGCTAGAACCTGAACCTGGGACTGCGTAGCACCGACAGAGGGACTTTCCCTACACCTCCACTTTCCTGAGTCACAGCTGGTATTGACACGCAACAACACAAAATGCGGCGACCTGTGTGCTACCAGTAAGTGCCATATTTTTCTTTTCAAATAACAATTATGCTACTGTTTTCTTGACCTAAACGTTCTTCTGCGTTGTATTTCTCCCCAAACAGAGCGCTCGTAAAAACATATTAGCCACTTAAATTTCCTGTGGTGGTAGACGAGGCATTGTACGACTTGCCCTTCTGGTGTATATCTGCCTTTACGGCTTTCTTGTGCAGTACAGTACCTTTCGAACATGGAGTCAGGCCAAATGAATACTGTCTATATTCAGACAGAGTGTAGAATAGTGACAAGTCAGTCAGTAGCTTTGAAGTAACATCATACTTCATCCCCTCTGTCCAAACAACTGGCCACAAAAGGGATCTAATCGACCACATCAAAGGTCAAACAGCTGGCAATTTGCTTCACCCCTGAGCTACGGCTACCACATCCGTGGAGAACCCTAATGGGGATCTGTTTTGTTTCAACACTGTGTTTATGCAAGGCACAGCTGAGTATATTCTTTTACTCTGTCTTCCAACAAGCTCAAGCTCACAAAACTCTGAAGCTGCTGCCACTGAGCAATGCAACTATGGGGACAACTTGTTGCTACCACTTTCTGTGTCCGTTACTGTACTATTTCCCTGCTCCCTCTCTGGCAGATACAATACTTACATGTATTCAACCCTTTTTTCTTTTTCTTTTTTACACTTAACAGGAAAAGAAATGGCATTAATGTAAAAGTGCAAAGAAATCTCCTCATATGTATCTAAATTAACAAGAACAAAACAAACAAAAATCAATCAGCTTAATGTAGCTAAAAGTCTTTAAGCTTATTAGGTTAAATGGAGATCATCTGTTCATATTCAAGGTATAACAAGTGATTTTAGGTTGAATTTATCAGTACCTGGAAGATCCATTCCTGTTAGTAACAAGCTGAAACATGGGTCCACCCATGAGCACCTCATCTCATCACCCTTTGAGTGCCAAGAGGTCTACCAGCTCCTGTTACACAACAGCACTAGGGTTTCTGAACAGGCCTAAAATATTAAGAGACATGCTGTGCAACTGTCGACTTCACACACAGGCCTCTCTGCATGGATGGGCAAATAACCTTTACTCATCTAAAGGCTCCGGCGTGCACACAGGAAACCACTCATGGACACAAATTGCTACCAAGTACAGATTTCCTATCCCACAATATCAGCTGGTGAATGTATAATGAACTGGTAAATGAACTGGTAATCAGTGGCAAATACTTTGTACATATTCTGTGTCAGTGCAGACATAGGCTAACCAATGTAAATAAGGTCAGGTGGCTGTGTACACCTATTCTTTCAAACTCACGAGGCCATGTTAACACCCTTGCAAGTCACAACATTAGTCCAACATCTCACTGATGGTAGCATGTTTGTGCAATAATGGGCCGCATGTTGAATGTGCACTGCCACATCTGTTGTGATAGTGAGCAAGGTTGTTTGCAAAGAAAGTAATATATGAACAACCATTAGGCTTAAAGTTATTACACTAAAACACTTAGTTAGAGACACCCTCAGCATTCAGCTAGTGTCAGCTTGTGTCCCTGCTCTACACTTGTTGAAGGACCCAGATTCAGGCTTTAGACAGTAACTCAGAAGAAGAGAGGAGGTTCAGCAAAAACAAACGGAGCATTTCAACTTGCACGTGCGTCAGCTGACACCACATACCTGTATACAATACAATACAGATGCACACACTCACAACAAGCTTTGACCTCACTTCCTATGACATCAGCAGTCTTGATGGGGGATGGGAGACTCAAAACTAGCACTCCTTCTCACTCTCTCGCCCTCCCTCCCTGACTCAAGCTAAGCTATGCAATGTCTTGGCAAAACCCTTCCTCGGTGACATACAAACACAATCCCCTGCTTCCTCCTCCCAAAATACTCCACCAACACTAAGAGGATAAATGCTCAAAGTCTCTCGTAGCAACTTTTAGTCAACAAAAGTCATCTGACACAAATATTTTCTTCTGCAAAATCCAAAAGTAGCAGCTGCAGCTGCTAAATAGCAACTACATTCTTGCCCATTTCCCCTTGAAACACACAAACACAGAAGAGCAGAGGAAGAGGAGTTCCTATTCTCACCTCTAAAATGCATGAGGGCCACAGGCTGGAAAGGCCCATTGGAGCTCGGTGCATCCAGAACCATCCCACTGGCAGGTCTATAACATAACATGACAGGGGAGAAGAGGGCAGCCCAGGCTAAGGCGAGGAGCCAGCCTCCATTTTAGCACGAACACTCGGAGCAGAAAATGAAGCTCCCCTGCTGCTGG